TACAAGAGTAAGGAGCATAATTAGAGAAAAATTGAAAGAAAGAAGAATGCTTAAGCGAATGAATGATGCGAGGGCCGACCCAAATTCTCTTATAAAAAGATAAGATGTGTTTTGAGAAAAGGGAAGAGTCTTGGAGAAGAGGAGGCACGACTACTGTTAGGGTTTCGTCTAATCTTCATCAATTCTTCACTTTTTCATCAATTAGAGCATTGTAATGGCCAACATGAGTGGCTAACTTCATTCTCTTAGGATTCGGTGCATTTCCTTTGAACTCTTTTGTATCATGGTGATATTTTGAGATATTAATCTATGCTTTGATGTTGTTATTCTTATCCTTTATGCTTTGGAATGATTTATTCTTGATGTTTGGGATATGATTGAAAAATATATCTTGAACCCTAGATCACGGTAAGAATATTTGTTACGTTAATTGTCAGGAATGGAATGAATGTATCAATTGCTTAACATCCTAACCCTAATGCTGGAAAATCTCTTAATTGTGTGAGGAATCAACATTTATTAGGTTTTCTTATGAATTCATGTGTAAGAAATCAACATGGATGATTTGAGTAGGTGACATCAACATTGTTAGGTTAATCGACGTTCTTAATTTACATAACCATTACAAAAGAGGGATAAGGAAGGAAGTCAATCCTAAGTACCTTTAATTGATATTTTCTCAATAATTTACAGTTCTTTGTCATTTAATTTCAATTCAACTCTTATTTGCAAAACTCAATCTGTTTAATCTACTTAGTAAGCATAATTAAGAATTTCTATTGAAATTGTTCCTCGTGGGATCAACTTTTATTTAATTGAAATATTATACTGCGATTGATAATTTTGGTATGCTTGCCAATAATTCAACATTGCTCTCTTTCTCAAAACACATCTTATCTTTTTATATGAGAATTTGGGTCGGGCCTCGCATCATTCATTCGCTTAAGCGTTATTCTTTCTTTCAATTTTTCTTCAATTACTTCACAATTATGATCTTTCCTCTTATATCAAGGTATTCTCTAATTCATCCTATATTAGAAGAACAATATATTAGAATTAACATAAGTTAAGTAATTTCATAACAATTCAAAGTATAATTATATCAATTTTTTACCACTTAACATAGATCTACAACAGTTGGAACCAACATTTGTAAAAGAAGAATAGACAATCTTGGAGTATTAGTTTTTTTTTTTTTTTTCAATACTCTTGTTTATACCAACCTATAGATATACAATGTTACTTTGTCCGAGAGGTGATAAACAAAGAAAACTTATAATCGAGATTTTGACAAAGCAAGTCATTCATAACAAGTTTCATATCGATGTTCATATGATGCTACCATAATTTATTGAAAATGTAAGCCTAATAAATAATAAAAGACAAAGAATTATGCAAAAATATACTTAACTTAATCAAAATCTACAAATAATAATTATAAGAAAACACACGTAAAAGTATATTGAGAGAGACTTCAAATTGTAATATTCAAATTATATTAAATTTAGATGAATGATCATCTTTTAAAAATTATTCACACATTCAATCTTCTTTACATTTTATATTTTCTTTAGGAGTTAAAGAGAAAAACTGCTATAAAAATAGAAAAGTTACTCTTTTAATATTCCCTTAATACTTCTATTCTATTTTTCAATAAAAGTATGATATTCCTTATTCTACTTGGTAAAATTTTATTGTCGTGTATTATTAATTTTTTAATTTCTTATATTAGTTGTAAGTTAATATTGTATCAATATAATATTTAATAACTATAAAACTCTTAAAATCAATTCAACCCTGTCATACGAAAGACAAAGTTCAGACCAAAGACTGCAGCTACCCAACAATGCTAATTTCTAAACTAGAAAATTTGACATAAACTACTAAGAAAATACAAATAGATAAGTTTGCCAAAGATTCCTAGAGAATTCACTGTTCATTTGTAAATTTAGGCATTTGGTTAATCATATGTGCGTGCATGTATTAAAATGTTATTGAAATTTATAAACATAATATTCATGTTTTGAATCGATGGTGGACTTTTAAAATTATGTCAAAGTTATTTTGATTATAAATAATTATGTTAAAATAATTATTATATTTAATATAGAAATAGAAATAAAAGAAGGTAAATGAAATGGAAATATAGATGTAAAGATTAAATAGACATAAAGATAAAAGGTAAGAATATTGAGGATGAGTGTAAAAATAATATATACAGACGGAATTAAGAATTTTAAATGAAGGATAAAATTATAAAAAATAATTATTTTATAAAAATAAATATATTATATAAAATGCTTATTAATATGTTTAATATTATTAATTAAATTTAAATTTTGAAAAATATTTTTTTTTAAATATAGTCTGTAATTTTTTTAGATATTTAATTTTTTTTCACATTTTAATAAAAAATAGCACATCATAGATTATTAAATAATATATAAAAAAATTATATTAATATTCTATGTTTTTTTATTATACTACATATGTAAATTTATTATTATAATAAAAAAATAATAAATAAAATAATTTTTTTTATTTTTTTATTTTAAGAAAATTATTGTGAAATATATTTTTTATTTTTTAACTTTTTAATTTATGTTTTTAATGTGAATAGAAGAAAAAAAACAAAAAATTAAAAAAAATAATATTTTTTATGTTATAAAGATAAAACTCTAAAAAAGAAAAATTTGAAAACTAAAAAAAAAACTTAAAAATATGAAAGTGAATGTAAAGAAAAGAAAAATAAAAATGTGAAAAAGAAAAATAAGTATGTCATAGAAAAATTAAAATGAAAAATGAAAAAGTAAAATAATATAAAAATATGAATATAGAGAAAAAAATATAAATAAAAAACTACGTTGAAGAATAAAAATATAATATTTATTATAAATAAAAATTAAAAAATATTAAACTTTATTTAATATTTTAAAAATAATTATATACAAAATCATGATTTTAGTGAAGGCTGTCTCTCAAACATCATGTATTGTTCTTCAACTTCTTTTTAACGTTTGTTCTTTCAGATATATTTTTTGTGAAAATATTTTGACAGGAAAATTTTTCTTATGTTTTCTATGTACTTTCAATACAAAAAGAAGAAATATTAGAAGTGTTTTTTCTTTTGTATAAATTCTCATTAATCAATTCATATATTATAAATCCAAATTTCATTTACAACGTAAGGATGAGTATCTTATATTGTATTTTTTTCTCACTTTAATATTTAAAAATCAAAATAGTTTTTTTATTTATTTCATTTTTCTTCCTAAATCTTAAATAAGTTGGAGTATTTGACTGTTGAAATATTGGGTGGAAAGAAAATGCGTAGCGTTGACTCCATCACTGATTTGTTAGACGGAAAAGAATCACTTTATTTACGATTTGATACTTTTCCTTTTCTTTTTGGAGGAATAATAAATTTATATTTTATTAAAAATAAAGTGCACATCTTTAATAATCATTAAATGATGGTTAAAAAATTCAATTATATTGTTTTGAAACTTAACTAAAGTATATGATTATGAAATTTAAAAAAACCTTTTAAATTTCATGGATATTATCCCAAGTTTGGTTTTAAATAAATCAAATTTCATCATAAAATAAGTAAAATATAATGAAGAAATATTTTCCCCGAAAATGAATCTCACATCCTAACAATTTGATTTTCGATAATTAATTATTAACTTAACTAAAACAAATACAAGCACAACAAATTGAACTAGAAATTAAATTTAGATCAACATTTAATCTAGTTTTTTATATATAAAATAATCTTAATCAATTAATTTTCTGTTGTATCACCTTTTGTTTTCTTTGAGTGTGTTCTCTCAAATTATAAGAATTCTACCATTAAAATTTTAAAAAGTATATTAATGAAAAATAATTAATTATATATATTTGATCTATTATTATCCAGATTATATTTATTTAAAATATATTAAAGTAGGAAAAAGAAGTTTGGTAATAATATCAAAATTTGAATGTCTTATCTAATACTACTCATATTAATTGTTCTGTCTTAAAATTTTCGGTGGAATTTATCTTAATTTATATTATATATAATATAACAAACCAACAATGAATAAATTTAAAATCTTTTTATTTTTTTAATGTTTAAATTGGAGTTTAAAAACTTTATTTTTTCATATTTACTCACACATTATATAACTTAAAGTATTATTTAATTTACCTAGATAAAAAAAAGTGCTTATATACAAATAAACTTATTTAAATAAAAATATCTAATTAAGATCTTTCCTTTTGTTCTTGCTAATTATATTTTTTTCCAATTCAAACAATTTATGAATAATTTTACGAAAATAAAAAAACTTCTGAAGAAATTTGATGACACATAATCAAGAACTAGGTAATACATACACATTATAGATAGTTTGGGTTTCAACACAATCCATCAGAAAATAATCTCAAACATGAATCATCAGAAGAAATAAAACAGTTTGGTTTTGATTTTGTAAAGTAAAATCGAAGAGGATGCATAAAAGTTAAAGTCGTTAAATTGATTGCAAAATCATGAAAAAAGAGGAGAGTATTTTCCAAGTTTTGTCTATTTAATTGAAAGGATAAGCACAAAGGTGGAGACAAAGATATGGTGAAACTAGCGTTACAAGATTAATGGAAAAAACAAAAGAAGAGTCACAAAGGAAGTACCCTAATTTCAAAGACAACCTAATTGTTACTCCCATCACTTTCACGTGTACTTACAAGAAACAACACGTAACATGCATATCCTAAGGCAGTGTTTGGCGAGCAATTGAAGTTCCCCCAAAACACCGATCCCAAACCATGGCACTCCTCATACACTCCCTTTAAAAGCAGATTCCCTTCTATATTCCCACGTGGCCCACTCCCTTTGCGCTTTATGCTATTCCGTTTCCCCAATAATATCTCAAGAAGCCAAGAATAGCCAAACAGAGGCTACTCCGAAATTTGTCCTCAACGAGAGAGAGAGAGAGAGAGAGAGAGAGAGAGAGGTCATGGCGGATGAGAGCGTTGTTGAGTCCCCAGTGAAGAGGCAAAGAGATGACGAAGAAAATGGGGCCTCTGTTTCCATGGATACGGAAGGTGGCAAAGAACCACAGGGTAATGGTTTGTCGTCGGTGATTCCTGGATGGTTCTCTGAAATCAGTTCAATGTGGCCTGGTTAGTTCTCTTTTTACCATACCCTTGTATTTGTTGCTTGGCTAAAGTTGTGCCTTTTCCTCGCGTTTTGATACTGGGAAAATAAATTTATCCTTTTTAACTCGTTGGTTTGTGTGTGGAAAATTAATCTTTTATTGTATCAATTTATTTATCAGTTCCTACTCTTATGGGGTTTATCTTTGCGGGAAGAGATTTGGATTTGATTTTTATGGTTGAGACGTATTTTCTTGATTTCTACCCAATTTGGGTTTCTGATGAGTTGTATTTCTGTCTTTACATCTTGTTTTACAATGGCCATGTTCCTTAATATCTCCTTCTCATGTACCAGCAAGTGTGTACAAATATTTATGTATTGCAAGTTTCTTACAATTTCCCTTGTCGAACAATGGAACTTTGTTGTTATTTATAATTGATTGTTTATAAGCCTTTTGTTGTTGCTACACCTTATATGCCTGAATGGTTTGTAGAATTCTGGTTTTGTTTGAATTTATTTTGTGTCTGAACATGTGGTAGCTCAGCTCATTGTGACGCTGAGCCAACCATGGCGCTATTTTAAGACTAAAAGTTGATCATCAGCGAGATAATATGAAATTTATGGTTCACTTTAAAATGTGGTGGAGTGAAGTCCCCGTAGAAGTTGAGTTGCTATTTATCTTCCTATTTGTCAATGGTGTTGCCTCTTTGGGAATGACTATCCTCTGAGATCTTCAGGTGTTTGTTTTCAAAAAAGGTAAATGATGGTTGTATTAAAAGGAATTAATTCCTCTAAAGTGAGCATGCACTTTAGAAGGTAAAGTCCAAAAAGTCATATGCATTATTGAAAAAGCAATGGAATCGATTTTATCAATTTCATTGTTTGTTAATATTATATGTACTTGCATTAATTTTATCACAATATGGGTTGTTTCAACCAACCCTTTAACATTGCGTTACATCTTATAAAGCGCATCTCTTGCTTTAAAAGTTCTAGATTCGTACAAAAAAAAAATTATTCTAGTCCTTTTACTTTGATACATGGTTTGCATAATGGATGTGTATATTGAAAAGGGAATGCTAAAAAAATACATTATAAATTTAAATAGGCAGATACTGTATGCAATTACAGAAAATAAATAACCTCTGTCCTTTCAAGACTCTTCTCCCCTTTTAATCACACATTACCTATATCCTTTTTGGGATTGGAACTTCTCAGTTCTTTGCTCTATCCCAACTTTTCTTCTTAGTTCTTGAGGAGTCAGGACATACTTTTAAATAACTGAGATGCAATTGTTGTCATAGCTATTTCTGCCAGTAAATTGCATGCTTACCTTGGAAAAGAGAAAGATCATTCTCATTTTTCTTAGAGAAATGTAATTTGTAGAATCAATTTTATATCTATGAGAGAGGAATATGATATGAGATTTAATAATGTGATAGAGAGAGATAGTAACAAGGTAGTTCTTCAAATATTGTTTTATCTGCCATGAAAAATATCTTTGACTACGTCGTATGGCATTAATTTTTCTAAAACCAAAGACTTGCCAAAATCCTAGAAATATTAGCACACAGTAATCTGTCTTTTTCAGATAAACTCTGAATATTTATTTTTTTCCTTTTGTAATAATAATCAAGAATTAAGTATGATTGTAATTTTGCAGGAGAGGCTCACTCCTTAATGGTGGAAAAGATTTTGTTTCAAGGAAAGTCTGAATACCAGAATGTCATGGTCTTTCAGGTACGTGTGGCTCCAACAAATTTTGAATTTACTATTACAATTTCCCCTTTTGCATGTTCCGAACTTTTTCAATGCACTGCTGTGATGTCTTCTGCAGTCGTCAACATATGGCAAGGTTCTTGTTTTGGATGGAGTAATTCAATTAACAGAAAGGGATGAATGTGCCTACCAAGAAATGATCACTCATCTTCCTCTTTGCTCTATTCCAAACCCCAAAAAGGTCTTACTTGCTTTTGTTATCTGTCTAGATTGAATGTTTGTTTACTCATCAAACTTACATACTTTTTCTCCTTGTATTTTTCACTTTTAGGTTCTGGTTATCGGAGGAGGTGACGGAGGAGTCCTGCGAGAAATAGCTCGCCATTCTTCAGTTGAAAAGATAGACATTTGTGAAATTGACAGTATGGTTGTTGATGTAAGGCACACCAAATTTTACACTCTTCTTTCCAATCTCTAACCAAAGCTAAAATATGTTGCTGTCAGGCTATAATGTCACTCACATTGTTTCTTCTATCTCTATACCCAATTTTTCTTGATATGAATGAGCTTTTCTTCTTAAGGAAATTAGTTATAGCTGTTCTATTTTTTTTTTTTATTTGGCCAGAGATGTGTACCATCCAGTGCTAAAGATTTCAAGTATCAGTATATGCTGAATGTCAACTTTAAGTAGTAGTAAATTTTATTGATTTGAATGAGTTTTCTTACTAAAGGAAATTAGTTATAGATGTTCTATTCTTTTTTAGTTGGCCAAAATGTCTAGTGTGTAGTGCTCAAACATTTCAAGTAGCAGTATATGGTTAATATCAAATTTAATCGTGCAGGTCTCCAAACAATATTTCCCTGATGTAGCAATAGGGTATGAGGATCCTCGTGTGACACTTACTGTTGGTGATGGTACGATCAACTATTCTATTATTTTTCTTAAATATTTTACTGTTGTTTAAGAAGTTATCTCATGATGGGTTTTTCAACAATGGTCTAGGAGTTGCGTTTCTGAAAAATGTTCCAGAAGGAACTTACGATGCTGTTATAGTGGATTCATCCGACCCTATTGGTATACCATATTCTTGTTTCCTGCTCTTTTACGTGATAAAAAATTAAAACTTTTTAATAAAGGGATGTTACATTTGGTATCCTTAAGGTCCTGCTCAGGAGCTGTTTGAAAAACCCTTCTTTGGGTCAGTTGCAAAGGCTCTTCGTCCAGGAGGAGTTGTGTGTACCCAGGCAGAAAGTATATGGCTTCATATGGATATAATTGAGGACATTGTGGCGAATTGTCGCCAGATTTTTAAAGGATCTGTCAACTATGCTTGGACTACTGTTCCTACATACCCAAGGTATGTACTTTCTAGTAATTTGTACAGGGATAGGGAATGGGGAAAGTAAAGTATATTATGATCATCCATTTTATGTTGTTTTTATTTTAATTTCAGTGGGATGATTGGCTTTATGCTTTGCTCAACTGAGGGACCACCTGTTGATTTCAAGCATCCAGTGAATCCCATAGATGAAAATGAGTGTCAGAAGTCAGCAAGGCCACTGAAATTTTACAACTCTGAGGTATGCTGCCCCAACCACCGTCTGTTTGAGATTTTCTATTCTCCCCTCTCTTTGCTGGACTGCTAATTCTTATCTAATTATCCATTTTTGCCTTTAATTCCAGATTCATACAGCAGCTTTCTGTTTGCCATCATTTGCAAAGAGGAAAATTGTTCCTAAAGCAAATTAGAAGATTTTTAAAAGCTTTGAAGAAGCTCACGTGGCTGTTGTAGAAGTCCAACATTCATCCTTGCTGGATTGGTCCAATCAATCAATAAGCCATGAATAAGTCAGATTAAATTTGGCATTGAAGAGTAACGTTTATTTCTGCAAATGAGTTTTAGGTGATAATGCAATAGTTGATGGATTCAGTTGTCAGTAACTTTCCTCATAAACACATTTCACAATGTGGAACTATAACTCTGTTAAGAAAAATTTTGTTTAATGCAAATTGTTGTTTCTCATATTTTTGAAATTTAATTGCATTGTTATGATCTGCCTTGTGTGTTGAATACTTTTGGCGTGATTGGTTCTATCAATACGAAATAAACAACTGCTGCATAACAAATTAAAGTAACGAGGGTAATGATTTGCTGCCTTCAACTATGATGCAACCTTTCTTCTTAGAATATCATACATCTATGCTTACTTTCAGTTTTTCCCGTTGAAGATAACGATGAGGGAAAATGGGAATGCGGGGTTCTGGTAAATTACGTATCCTTCCGAAATAGGCTCATGTAATTTTAGTAGAAACCTAGAAAAACTTGCTTTGATGGAATAATGCCAGTTTCTTCACCCGTATACTCTACATTCACAGGGAAGCACTAACAAGAGGCGGCTATACATCTATTTTATTTCATCACAGACTAGTCACTATGAAACAGAAAAGCATTTTCATAATTAATCTGATTAAAATCATACAGTCATAGTAAAGTAGAAGATAACACTTATTGATTAATTGTTACAAAAGGCTGCATAACCACCACTTCTCATTCACGAATCATTCTTAACATCCTTGCCTGATTCTTCATCAGTTATCTTTTCAAATTTCCTCTCCTTGCAATCATGGAAATAGATAATGCAAACCACCCATTTCAGCGGATTTACCATGCAGAACAAGCCAACTTGTACAAAAGTTGCATTCCCTTGCTCATAGCCTCCAATATGGTAGCATAAAAGCCTCACAAGATGTCCCCAAGCAAAGAAAATCAGCATCAGAAAGAGCCCCCTCCTGTGACAGCCTCTGCTGAAATATGCTGAAACAGTTAATGCATCAATACCATAAATCCCCTCCAACACTGAGATTACAAGACTCATGTTCCACACAGCACTCCCCTCCAAGTACATCCTTAAGACCTTTGCAAATGCCATGCTGCAAATTACCGCGAGCAACATGTAAAAGCTCAAGTCCTTTAAGAAAACATTCTAATTTATGACTATCCACAATAATCCAAGCTGGTGAGTAGTTGTCAAGAAGAGAACATAGATAGAAGTGACAAAGGAGCCTCTCAACTTGGATAGGCCAAAGGGTGTCTCAAACATCTCCTTCAGAGTCATTTTCTTCTCTCTTGAATGCAGCTTTGAAGCCAAATCTACTGTAACAACTGCAGAGACAAACTCTAAGACATAGAGAGGCACTATGTAAATGAAACCAAGAAGAATCAGCTTCAGGAAATAATCCTTGTTGAATATTTCGATAAGATGTAGGCTGTGGCCATACGGAGTGGAGAGACGATATCGTAGGCTAAAAATATTGGAGGTTTCAACCAGGATTTCTTGGAGGTAAATTTCAAAGTAAACCATGATACAAAAGAGAGGAAGAGAAGTGAGAAAGGTGAAGATGATGAAATTGAGGTTCCCTAAATAGATCATAACAGATTTCCTGAGGATATCAGATACTTCAAGCCTCTGCTTAGACTTGTTACTTTCACTCTCCATAACTCTTCACTTCCAAGAACAATAGTTTACAAGTTGAAGATTAGCACTCCGTAAAGATCTATAAAAACCAATGTTTTTCTTATCTTTGTGGTCTACTGGAGAGACACAGTAGGGCGAAGACTTGACTTGTGACTATAAAAGATTGGCGTTACAAACACTTGTGACTTTGACTTTGTCCTATGAAGGTTCACCTAGGAATTGGATCCCCCCGTCAATACAAGAAGAATATGTGCCGTTAATTTTTTTATTTTTTTTTACACATTTAAAGGTTAATAAAATATGAAGTTTATTTTTCTTTTTTTTACCACTGGATTATGAAAGTTGGACCATGGAAACTATAACCGAGTGCATGGTGTCCTGGTCAATGTCAAGAAATTAGAACTGTACTGAAAAAATTGGGATAACATATTCCTATAAACTTTGATAATAGCAAATACAATTAGGTTTTTGATGAACTAATGTGTCAACAAAATAAGTTCACGGCTCATGTGATTAAACAAAAATAATAATCTCAACTACTGTCAGAAGATCAAGATGCTTAACAGAGTCTAATATACAAATAACATCGTATCTTCAAATCGTTATGATAAAAAATGTAGGTAAATGTGACGAAACTCCGTGAGTGATTTAATTAATTTGAATGCTAAAAAAATATTTTAATAAAAAAATTGAAAGATTATGAGATTGTCTATGTGGTTAAAATTATTATTATTATTATTAGAATTTAATATATTATAAATATTTGAATTATTTTTATTGTAATTAGTGAGATGAAATATAACTATTATTCTTATTATATATTGGAATAATTATATAATTATTATTAATATAATAATAATAATTATTATTTATATATTTATTGTTATAAATATTATTATTAAGCTAAATTAAGAATAAATTATTTGTGATGAGTACATATGTAAGATTGATCATTTAATTAAAAAAATCATAGGAAACAAAATAAGATGATTAAGCAAGTGTTACTATTACAATAATATTAAAACAAAATAAAATAAATTATGCCTACTTTTATTGAAAAGATTTTTGAAAATCATCAAATCTCTGTTCTAGATTATTAATTCTTTAGTGTATGGTCTCAAAACTTTGGTTGACAATCAAGTTGAAAGTACTTCATCCTTGTTGGATTTGTTAAATTTCATACAAAATTTGTGAAAGCATTTGATGATTTAGAGGGACTGCCTTAAACTAGACCACATTATGGTATACTAGGCCTCCTAGTCCAATATCGACTACATTTAGGTAGTGTATGATCTTCAACGTCATCATGTTTAGGGTTTAAGGTTTAGGGTTTAGGATTCAATGTCATATCCTAGCCATATTGCATGTCTTTAGAAATAGTAGGATGTGAAGACTTCTGACCTTGATACTTTATATTGGTCATAGTCAACCAATCCGAATGTGTGATTTTGATCTTGGTCTTATTAACCTCAGTGTATAGGTTACCTCCCTATGTGACTTTTAGGTTGGAGTAAAATACTCTAATGAAATTTTCATAGAATTGGAGCTTCTAACATGGCAAAATGTTCCAAACCTTGGAATTGTAAATGATGGTGGAAATACATCCCAACTTTGCAAAGTATGGGAAATTCATGACTTTTAGTGTTAAAATTTTCTTATATTGAAATGTCATCCCATATTCTATCATTTGATCATGGGTGTTGAAGAATTGTGTCTTATTTAATACCTCCTCAACATTTGAAAGAACTTCATCATTAGTTGTACAAGTTTCTCCTTTTCTTTCCGTAACACTTCAATGTCTTTTTGCTAAGAAGAATCCATGGGTACAAAATTGGAAACATATGAAATATCAATTAAAATGAAAACATCAAACATATATTAAGGTATTAATTGATGCCAAATTAATGATGTACCAATAAAAAGTAAATGAAATAAAATAAGTCAGAAGTACTAAAATGTTAACATCATGTACATGTTAACCACTTGTTAGGTATTTCGGAGGAGGGGGGGAGGGGGGCTAACAAAGAGACTCTCACAAATGAGACATGAGTCAAGAGAATGTGATACCACTTTCAACCCAAAATCTTAAGGTATTGGGTTATAGATATTTCTTCTTTATATGTTGTTTAACTTTCTCATTTTTACTCAATGTGAGACTTAGACTCACACTTGAATTTCCTAACACCACTTGCTCAGTCAAAAATTCATTTCTTCTTTCAATTGTAAGTACTTGTCATTCATATGCGATGACTTGTCTTTTAGTATATGTTGACAATTTTTCTGAGATGTCATTTCCTTGGCTAATGACATCCACAAATACATCAAGCTTGGTACTTAAGTTCTCGAACTGGATGTTCACAACATCAATCATTGCGGCTTTTCTTTTTTAATCTCGGGATGAAGACGTACCACTAGATGGAATGGATAGAGTCGGAGTTGGACTATGGGAATTCACATATGAAGGTGATTGAGGAACATGCTTAGGTGTATCATCAAATACAAGCTCCTCTGGTATGTACTTCATGTCATCATTCAAATCAATAGTGTAACTTTGGTTTTGGATAGGGATGACAAAATGAATCAGCTCACTCATCTCTAGTCTGCCAAAAATGGAATAGGACAGGCGGATCCACCAAAGTAAGGACGAGCTATAGATCCCAGCTCATCGCGAAAAAAGATGGGCTAGCAGTGCCAGCCCGCTAATACTTTTTTGTTATATAATTTTTTATATGTATTTTTTAAAATATATCTTTAATTATATAAATATTTTAAGTTTTTATTTACTAGTGTTGTAATTTTTCTGATGGATTCAAATTACTCGGCAAGTGTACCAAGTTTCGATGTAGTAAAGAGTTATCGTCCACAGGGATTTGTGACTTAGTGATATTGCAGGTTATCATCATGGATCGAAAGTATGATTTGAGAAAAATAACTAAAAATAAGCGTAATATTTAGTATAATGAAAAGTGATTATAAATAACGCAGATCGAATTACATGCACTTGCTTCCAGCCCTATTTCCAGCCATATAACTTCAGCTTTTACAGTTTCACTCTCAGCATGTAACTTAGCTCGATTCCTCGAAACCAAGTCCTAGGGTGTTAGCTTTGAACGTGATTCTTCAACGGTTCGAAACCAACATTCTGCCTTACGAACAAATCTTGAAATTAATGTGATTAACAAACACACTTCTATTCCTAGAGAAGTTATCTATTAAGCATTTGATCCAGTTCCGGTTAATGAAAACATTTTCCAACGCAATCAAAAGCCTCATATCTTAAATCAGTTAATCACTCCGAAGAAGGCATTAAGAATATAATCAAACACAACTGCGGCAAATGAAAATCATATATACGGAGAAATAGTCTGAAAGTAGTTACATGTAATCCAACCCAAAGAGTTTTAGCCCCTCATAGAAGAACCCATTACAAAACAAGACAAGAAGGAGAAGAAATTACAACAAAAACTTGTTGGATTCAAGTAGAGTCGCGTTCCCACGAGCTCCTTTAGGTGTGAATGGTCTCCTCTTTCTTTTCTCCTTGTCTGTGTGTCTCTCCCTCCTCTGTTCTTTTATTTCTTAAATAGATATTAGGTCTGCAGAGAGGGAAATCCGTTGGGTGCTCCAAGAATCCGCTGGGCGGATTCGTGGGTTATGAGAGATCATTTTGCTAGCAAATCCACTGGTGCATCTCATAAGGCGCTAGGCGGATTTTGCTGCTCATGACATTTTTCTCATCCTCAAATCCTGAATCAAAGAACATCTTGGGAGAATAGACACTTAATAATATCTTCTCATGATTTTTATGCTTTTTGATGTTGGATATACAACAAAAAGATGCAAATATTGTCTAATAAATGTGAGTTTCTCAATAAAATTTATACCAAATTAGCTCCTTAACAAATAGTTAATATTTTTATTAGAAAAATTAAAAAAAATATTATATTTATGTGTTAAAATAACTAATTATAATCAATAATTTAAACTTAATTGATTAATTTTTATAATTTAAATTATAATATTATAATATTATTACATATTTATATATTTTAATAATATAACACAAAAATATAAATTTTTTTAATTATAACCTTTTTTTATTTTAATATATAACTTTTTAAGTGGGCAAGCGGGCTAGCTCGCCCCACCCTTAGCCTGTCGAATTGGCGGACTGCATAAAACGGGCTAGGATAAAATCACCAAACTGCCCCGTCATTTTGACCAGCTCATTACGGCTAAGTTTGTTTTATCATCTCTACCTTTGGATGCATTGTCAGATTTGACATGTTGTACTTACCCATACCCAGTGGCATGATTAGCACCTCAGTGTTCCTCCATTAAATCATAGTATTTAATAGAATTACTTTAATTAACATAAAACTGTTTGTTCTAAAAATATGCAACCCACATAGCAAAATAAGACATAGTGAAATGGTTAAGATTGTTAATGATAAATAATGTTTTATAAAACACCTTTGTTAAGTCATCACATACTTCACTTTTAGCCTCAAATATTAATGTGGGTTTACCCTAAGCAAACCTACTGAGTCTAATAAATAGGTTATGAACCTCGCATCATTTGTCCTTAAGGTTTATTTATTTATTTTTAACATTGTTCTTTGTTATACCAACCAATTCATCCTATGCAAGACACTCAACAATATTATTATAAATTTGTGTGGTCCATCTTTATCAACTTGGTTCTCCAAATGGACCTCATCAACCATGACAGTCAGTAGTAGTAAGTCCATGTCCAATGTCCATTTGGTAAACTCTCAAAATTTTGGAAATGACTCAGGGACAACACTCTTGTCTCTATTCATGTTGTACCTGTAACAAAGACAACTAATCTAAAAATTGTAGTACAATTATACTTAACATATGGTTAACCAACAAATAACGTAATTAGTGAATAAAAACTATAAGAACATTCACATATTTGAAATGAATTAATACAACAGTTTAATTATTTTTATAGTCTCTCAACATATTGTTTACTATATTATCTCTAAGGTTTGACCCAA